GTCAATGGGAAGAGAAAAAGAGGTCTTTATAGACCACTCATTAGTTTTAAAGACCAAAAGAACGATCAAGTTGAACTAATGCCACTCATCTGAAGCCCAAGATTCAAGCAAAACACCACCACCATTAAAAAAAAAAGACATCAGGACTTGCTCCCTTGATTCTTGCTTCTATCAGTCAATCTCTCCAGCACAGGAAAGATGGACACTCTCCAGAAAAATAACATGGATGGAAATCCTGGCAATGGTCATGCAGAGCCAAATAAGAGATTGAAAAGGATAAACCTGATCTGGCACTCATCCCATCTGACCATGAAACAAAACCAGCACTGATGAGATAGCTACAGTGAAAATGTAGCTAAACCTTTGCTTCAGTGCTGTGTTTACATCCAGGTATCAGCTATTGGAAAGTACATTAGAATAATGAACATCGATTGTACCAATTTATGCACCATTACAGAAATTTTTAAACAAAAATCTTAGCAGAACATTGTGAGAGAAAAGTGGTAAAATACCTTTGTTGAGTTGAGTTTCTACTGTCGGCTTGCTAGCAAGCTGTTAACTCTCCCAACTGTGGAATTTGGAAGCTACCTATTACTTCCACTGAAGACAGCAGACTAAACCAAGCAGATTTCAACTTAGTCCACTGAGCTCATCTGAAGGAAAAGAATCACTCCAGCATGCAAATATGAAATAAACCATCCATTATTTCAAATTACATTGCTTACCCTAACAATTACTTTACACTTTAATTTCAGCTAGTTATCAGGTTTCTAGCGTAGGTTAAATGAAGCAAGTATTTGCTAACAGAGAGCAAACGGTTAGGTAAGGACTTCACTCAGTTGCAAAGTTTCTTTCCTCAAATTTAAACCCTTTACGGGTTTAAATTGAAAGTGGGGAGGTTTAGATTAGATATCAGAAAGAAGTTCCTCACGGAGAGGGTGGTGAGGCACTGGAACAGGTTGCCCAGAGAAGCTGTGGATGCCCCATCCCTGGAAGTGTTCAAGGCCAGGCTGGATGAGGCTTTGAGCAACCTGACCTAGTGGAAGGTGTCCCTGCCCATGGCAGGGGGGTTGGAACTAGATGGTCTTTAAGGTCCCTTCCAACCCAAACCAGTCTATGATTCTATGAAATGCAGTAAAACGTAGTGAACAGAATCCACAGAATTTCTGGAAGATGGCAAACCTCCTCTCTCCCCCACCCCCAAGAAAACCCATGAAAGGAAGCTGAAACTGAAGTTCTCTTGACACAAAGCAAACTCTGAAAATACTGCATAACATCTCTAGCAGCTCCTCTCACTCTTATGCCCTGAGGAGCTGGCCAAAAGTAACCTCAACTGTTTTCACCCCTGACATTTAAAAGTCAGCTTTTGTTCCAACTATGAATGTTTTTGTATATTACAAGAGCAGTAATCAGTACAACATTTTAGCCTTCTCCTTAGGCTTTAACATTTATGTAGAAGAGGTGAGGCAAACAAGATTGGCATATACATATATATATATTCTGTATCTGTGACTTACTGTTACAGTTCCAAAAATGTTAATGATTGGGACAAAATGGTGAGAGTATATTTGGCTGGCACCATACTTCAGATTTCTAGAGTGGCATGAAAACTCACTGATGGCTGGGAAATGCCTGTGCAGCTGGAACACCATCCAAGTTCTGACTTGTCTCCTGTTGGTGAAAAGCTGTCTTTTGGGGTAATGTACTTGAATATTTTAGCACATGTCCAGCCTCCTATGACTTCGTATTTAAGGCAGCACACCAATACAGTTTTAAAATTGAGCCTAAATTCCTGTTTTAATCTAACACAGAGCCCTCCGAATATCCACTGCTACCTTCTAGTTTGTCTTTTAATGACTTTGTAATAGGAAGCTTACAAATTAATGAAAATAGGATTTCCCATCAACAATACTACTTCCCATTGTTAACAATTTCTTGCAAAGCACTATGTATTAGAAAAGAGCAGAACACACCGATAACTTGTGTATTGGCAATGTATTCGACCAGAGAGAAAGGCTCTGTGTAAGGCTTTAGATCCAGTTGCTGAGAAATAAATTCTCAGTCAAATTTCAATTCAATTAAACATTACTCCTCCTTCCCAGACTTCACACATGAACGTCTTCTCTGAGGAGCAACAAGGCACGTTGTGAGAGACTCACGTTTTATCTCCGTTATTCTTCAAACTGCAGGCATCCGGCCTATCAACAACTACTGCTAGAAGATGCACTGTTACTGGCATTACCCAAGGTAAAACCAAACACCATACACTTTGTTTAGCTTACTTTTTTGCTTACAACTATCACATCACCCATCACAGTTACGGCTATCAGGAAGAATACTATAGTGTAAGACTACAACGACTACATGGTCAGAAAAAGAGACTGCAAGGCAGAATAAAGCTTTAGTTAAATCTTTCTGACACTTATCTCGCTGCAAAATGGCTTTTAAGTCAATGCTGTTCCACCCCAAGCCAAGCGTGCTTTTTATTTTTACCACTACAATGCATAGTAACAAAATACTCCCAAAAAAACAATATACTGTTCCAAAAATAGCAGCAGCCCCTTGTCATTTTCTGTTCTAAAAGGCAGTGAGTGAGTTTTAACAAAAAAAAAACCAAACCAACCAATCACAAGTTTATTCAACACGACACTGGAATGCCTCACTACTTTTGTGTGCATGCAGTTGCTTATCACCTGATTCTTAGCCTTCAAAAACACTGTGACAAATGAGATTAACAACCCTTTTATAGGGCCACAGCACAGCAAAACTCAGCAAAACATAGCCATGTCTTCTATGAATGTCATTTCCGATTATTAGAAAGTGAAAAATGACTGGGGATGAGCTGTTCATTTAAACTAGAAAATGAATTTCGATAAAGCCTATTTTTTATCTCCACCTGCTGGCAGGTTTTCATGATACGGCTTCCCTTGCACAGCCTAACTTGAAAGAACATTGGCAAGGTAAAACAGTGGAATGAAATGAAAAGCCAAACAAAAAATAGTAACAAAAAACATCCACAACATTAAATAAGAAAGTAAACAGGACAAAATATAAAGTATGGGTGCTGAGAGGTAGAACAAAAGACAAGACGCCTCAGAGACGGGCAATTCAGAAATACATTCTATGCCTCTAATGAATTTACATAATACAAACTAATGCTAATACCAGATCAGATTATTTATAAAAGAAGAAACGTGCCATTTTAGTATTGCATTTATGCTTATGAAACCTGTTTTTAACATGATTTATTTTTAATTACCCAAATTTACCAGATTCCATGGTCATCTCAAGTAATCCATCAAGAGCACTGGAAAGCAGACCTCTACTGGAGACTTTTAAGTGACTTAATATGACCGGCACACATCGGTATTCCAAAAATAAGGCCTTCCCTTCATCTGTCTTCAAGTCTATGCGAAGGGAATTAAACGCCTGAGCCAGGTAATCCACTGAAAAATATCAGAATACAGGCAATAAAACTTCTATAATCCTAGTTCTGTTAAGCAACATGTGAACAGCTAAGTTGAGAGTTACTGTTGCAGATATACACTGAAAAGTCAAATGGCTGAAAATCTTAGATTTTATTTTATTCAAAGACATCCTCTGCCTGTTTTTATTCCTTAACAATTTGTTGTGAGTGGACAAAAAGACTAACTACTACTTATATGTTGAACAAAAATATACTTACAAATATAAAGCCCTTCTAATATTTTGCTTAAGATGAAAGAAATTACCAGCTTGCACAGTTTGAGGCAATGTTGATTTCAACATCTGGGAAACCTCTGTTAAAGGAGCCAAGGGTTGATTTGTCTGAATAAGAGAAATTATTTCTTGAGAGCAACTACTCCCATTCCTTTCCATAAAAAGCTGTAGTTCCAGGTTTCAGTGCATGCATTTTATATACCCATCCATTGTGGAGCGCACTAAATTATAGTAAGAATGTAGATTAAGTGAACCAATCTAATTTTCTTAATTTCCTGATGTCAAATCTTTCTCAGTATCTTGGAATGGCATTGATCATCTGGAGCACAGAAGATTAAGTATAAGGAAACCATCCAGCCCACAGCAGGAGTTTAACTACAGTGCCACCTGCTGACATTTTGAAGGAAACGGGATATATGTTCAAACCAAATGCGTTACCTTATCACTAGATAGCTAGTGCCATGTGGTCAGAGCGATCAACATTCATACACAGTGGCAGTCAACATATGTTTAACAACAGATCATATTTCCCGTGTTATAGAAGCCAGCAGTAAAAAGCAACCAGCTACCAACTGAGTCATTCTAATCAACAGCATTCATCTGTATGCTGGGAAGTCTCTGCAATAACTATTTTTTGTACTGCAGTATTTTTTTGCTATCTTTTAATCAAACATCTCTAGAAACGTGAGTCTCAATTTAGCGCAACTCTCAAGCTTCACCAAAACTTCTTGACTTAAATAGTTCCCTCCAACTGCACAAACACTGTATATGCTCATTAATGAAGTCAGGGTGGTCTTCCACCATGTTTAAATCCTCTGTTTATGTAAATACAATATAAATACTGCACAGGTCAGTTAAGCACAAAGACATACTAATCTTCTTAACCATCTAATCCAGAAGGTTGGCCTCCAGGACAACAACATTGTTCATTATCTATGGATTTAAAATCCTTGGCATCCCTAGTGAGCATCAATCAGGGTGCAAGACATTGCAGCTATTTTGTGATGTGGATCTCTGTTTTCTAAGAAATGCCCCCAAATACATAACATATTTCATGAAAGAGACTGAGGAAAAAAAAAAATCAGATGCCAAATTAAGCATCTGATTCTGACATGGTTTCCCAGAGTACTTTGAAAATTAACAACTCTCTAACCTGTTTCCATCTCTTTGTGTTAGTAGCAGAGGGGATGTGTTACTAAACATCTTAAAATGCAAACCATTCTGAGAACAAAAGATAGCAAAAGTAGACATGGAATATTTTAGGTTGAACCTCCTGCCCAAAGCAGGACCATCTCTGAAATTAGATCAGGCTGCTTATAGTCATAACCCCACTGGACAATTATTTGCTATCAAAATGATATGTTTCCCTTTGAAAAGGGAAAAAAAAAATAGTATCACAGAGTTGGAAAAGGTGTATAGATACATGCATTCTGATGCTACGCTTGTAAAACTTACTCTTGCAGAAAACACCAGTTATGTGGCACCACAGTACCCTGAAATTGCTGCAGGTAGGCAGTAATCACCTCTTACACCTGCTCTTAATGGTATGTAATTAGCGTTTCCTGCCTGACTTCTATAAAAAAGGAGATGCAACACCTCTTGTTCCCTACTTCCCTTAAAGAGAGAAAAGGCTTCATAACTGAAGGCAGCAGTTAACAAATCAGCTGAGAGAACAGCTACTCTATTCCTTGGGATATATTTGCCACAGTTTGTTTTTCTCACCCTGTCCAGACACAATCTGATTCTTGTTAACTTGTAGTGACTATTCTGAAACCTTTCCCTGCCTCGTGGGAGAGGGTAAGACCCAATTTCCCCTATTTCTTTGCCAACACAAAATTATATAGGTTTTAAGTAGAGAATTCTACTTTACACTACCACTACACATCATCTGCTAGTGTGAAAAGTGGGAGGATCCTGGGAACAAAGTGGAAACAGGAAAAAAAAAAACCTCACAGTGAAAGGAAAGAGTCACTCACCCTGTTATGCCCCCTTACACACCCTCACCATTCTTTTTGGATAAAAGGCAGAAGCGTGAGCTGAAAATGATGCAGCTGATTCAGATACAATAATTCCCTAAAAGGCACTGAAAACTGTCTGGACTACATTGTTTTAGAGCATATTTGAATTTCTTTTCTTCCCCTCAACCCCCAGAATAGATAGACAAAATATCAATTCTTTATATAGCCAGAAGCTCAATTTGATAATATGTATCAATTATATTGCATTTAGGATTCAGAGGGCACCTATCAACTCTGCTGCTTTTATGCTGATGGCCTCTCTTGCACAGGTGAACAAAACTGCTTCACAGCAATCACTGAAACCACTGCTGAATTAAAGCAATTCAGTCAAAAGAGAAAGCTAATAACAGAAGTCAAAATAAGACATTCTTGTGGATTACTCATCAAATCTGCAGACTTGCAAATTAAGCACCTTCAAGCATAATTCAGGTTAAGTACTACTGTTGAAGTTTTCGAAGTCACGTGTAAATTAGAAATAGGTAAGAACTTGGTTAAACAACTAAAGTTAATCTGTAAATCAATTTTAAAATATGTCTATAAATCTGATTGACTGAAGTTTTTTCTTCTCTGGGTTCTAACAGAAAAGTGTACCCAATCTCTGTGTCAAAAGGATGAGGAAGGAAAGCATTAAAAATCTGAGTTTGTGCCTCTTCTCATGGTGTGTTCAACACTCAGAGCTCACAAGAAACAGCCTGGTTTTGTCGTCACTTCAAAGAAAATGTTTTAGTCTTTTCAGATCATATCTGTTCTCAAAGAAGGCCACTGAGAAGATTTGCCTCAGCATCTCGAAAACTGCACAAGTGGAATCACCTGTCCTAACCTGAAGCAGTCGTCACTGTTTTCAGAGCTGTGTTCTCTATTGATGTGACCCTGTTTACTTTTGCCTCGTTAACAAAGTATATTTGTTAACAACACTACACCAACACAGGAATTTTGGAAGATTTATGGATAAAAAGGCCACTTTTCATGCTAGACAGGTGATTCTGAAGTCTAAAACATTTTTATGTAAACAGAATGTGGTGCCTTTGTAAATGAGCCCAATTAACAGTGAAATCTGAATGGACAACCATACCAAGAACTGACAATTTCAGAGAGTAGCATTTTTTCAATCCCGATAACATTTTATGGGTAGCTGTTTGCAGTGCCAGACTTGGCAGGAGAAGGTGCCTCAGACAGGTAAGGGCTGAAGTACGAGCTGTACACTAAACTTGGACCTAGGGACAAAACCATCTCAGGACATATATTGTATCACAATTCAACCCAGCCATTATAAACCACTACTCAAGTGGCTTTCTCTATGTGACTACAGAAATACCTATGTACATCAGATTTGTCCATAAAGATAAATGCAGCAAAGTTGTAACTGCGTCAGAGAAGAAACATTTGACACTGCAGCTGAATCAGTCTTTCAGGGGACAGGTGGACACCCTATGAGCTTAAACAGGACAGTGAAATTCTAGAACTGTGCAAAATCTGCTACTTATTTCAGTTTAAAGAGGAGCAACTAGCTGTGCCGTTCCATGCGTGCTACTTATTTCAGTTTAAAGAGCAACTAGCTGTGCCGTTCCATGCAGTAAAGATCTTGGCAATCCAATCACTGCTCTAGTGAAGGGTGGACAGAATTGCTAACATCTCTTTTACCCTTCTTCAGAAACGCTGATTTGCCTGACAAGTTGTCATACCAAAAGGAATACATTAATTCCATCACGAAATGGATAATAGCAAGGTCCATACTTGTTTCCAGTACATTTTGCTTCACAAGGTAATAAAATTCAAGTAAACCCACTTTTCACTATTAAAGCATAATAGACACCACAGTTAACATAGACACCAAGTGTGTTTTGTCTGGGCACATGACTGCAATAAATAAATTTTTAAAAATCAGAGCTTACCTTGAGTCACTGTTTTAAGCACAATTAAAGTTGACAGAAACCTCAAAGGCATGCAGGAACTCTTAAAGAAAGCTATCGATTTTGATTTACTCTCTGTAGACTCTTCAGAAGAACCATGTGGGTTTCTCTTACTTACTACGCCTTGGAAAATATCTTCTCCAAGTCTCCTCATTGTTGATGTCATTGTTGCGTGCTGTGTCAAAACAGCGCACACAGTTAGTGTAAACACAGAAACACATCAAAATCCTGTTTACTACGTAGGATACATATGTTCCCCTAGCGATTATATATTAAATAGCAAGTGGTTTGACCATGTAATGGAATATAATCTGCGTAGGAAGATACTACTTTGTGTTACAAATGTAGCGGAACAACATTATCACAGTGCCTTTACAACAGATACTTCAGAAAGACTAGTAAGTGAGGGCCCCTGATGCGCTGACATTATTTAAGTTGCCTCTAATTGCAGAACAAGTTCAGTCTACTATATTTTGAGAGGTTGCTTGAAGTTATATCCTGCAAAAGCAATTACAGAACGAAGGTGTAAACATAAACCTTAAGAACACTGTACAGTTAAGATCCATGAGACTTTTCATTGTAAACTATACAGAACTATAACCTCAGTGTCAAGCTTCACAATATGCTCATTTAAAATACAGTTTCTTATTAGCACTAAAACCAACATCTTACCATTGCACTGAATTTAAACTCAAAATATTTACAAAGTTTCCCACCTTTTGCTTTAGCAAAAGCACTACACAGCACTATGCACTATACTGAGTCTTTACAGTACAGCTACTGTCTTTTGCCTTATTATACTGCTAGATGATTTCTTATAGCAGTCTAGTCAAAGGGAGTAGGGAATGTCTTCTGGATAGACATGGAGCAGAAAACAGAAAAAAAATCAAAATTTCCCTGCTGCTTTGCCACACACTCCCATCAATTTCAATAAATCTCATGCCTTTTCTAGTACAAAAGTTTTGTAAATACATATGTAAAAGTATATTTTCTGAGATGCTTAGACATGACGAAGATCACATACTTACAAAAACTATGTTTAGCTACTCAAGGCAAAACTTAAAATTAACTTGAAGAATTTTATTTTTTCATTTTCCATGTATCTGTGATAAACACCAGAAATTCAGGCTTTGCAAACACAGGAATTTTTTTTATATATACTATCAGAAAAAAATAATTTTTCATATGTATTTAAAACATAAAATCTATTAATATCTTCTGGGAATTTATTTAAAAAACAAACAAAAAAACCCACACCATACTGCAAGAGGACTACTTGTTTTACCTGAATACCACTGTCTAGCTGTCTTATAGACCAGTAAATAAATTTAATCACAGGCATGTGTAGATTAGGATTCACAAATGGCATCCACTGGAGTTGCTCAGCAGCTATAGGCAAAAGCTGTAAAAAGATACAAAAGTAAAATTACACACAGCATATGAAATTTCTGTAAAAGCTAACCATTAGTGAAAAGCAAACACACGCAACCCCAAACTTACACAGAGTCACAGAATGGTTGGGGTTGGAAGGGACCTTAAAGATCATCTAGTTCCAACCCCCCTGCCATGGGCAGGGACACCTTCCACTAGGTCAGGTTGCTCAAAGCCTCATCCAGCCTGGCCTTGACACTGAGCTTTCTCTTTGACTTAACAGATCACACATGCAAATACTCACTGGGCAGACCCAGTACAAGTAACAGAATTATACACATACACAGATTTAACATTTTACAGAGGTTTACATGCAAAAGTGGAGATACATCATGTGAGCTCAATCTCAGTACATCCAATCCCCATGACTATAGAACTGTAATATAATGAAGAAAAATAGTAAAAGAAGACTTTTTGAACACCTCACTAAGATTCAAACCTTAGTATCCCAAGAAAGAAAACAATAGATGTGTTTAAAGTATAGGATAGTATCACCTTTTATCAGTTATAAATCAAAACTTCAGTATCTATTGCAGGCATCAAAACATTTTAGACATGTTCATCCCCTTAGAAAAAAGGAATTATGTACAGTATTATTATTGAAACACAAGACAAATTATCAGCTGAGAGAGGTGACTCGAAATAAAATGCTGAAACTCAAGTTAAGACTGAACTCTGCACTTTTCCTTAAAAATTATCTGTATGCTTTACAAATGACGAATTATCTATTATATCTCACTGCCAGAATTAATACAGACTTAAGAGTGATTTTGGTTTAATTACCGTATCCAAAGTATGTATAAAACAGGTTGACCAGTTACATTCTCAAAATCATTTAATAAACTCCATAAATCTGAAAACATATTAACACAAGTGAACAATCCAAACTCCTTTACCTTCATGCACCTTTCCTGGGTGCAGGTTTTTTTGGAAGTCTGGGTGACCAGAAGTTTACCCCTGTCCGCTCGCTCTTCTTGTATTGTTATTTTGCTAAGGTGCTGGTCTGAGATCCAATCCATAAGGGAAGTTAAACACTCATAAACTTGCGAATTCAAAGGAAGCTGTAATAAATCCACAACAGCAGATATTTCAACTTCCAAGTTAATCATTTTTTCTAAGCCAAGATAGTAACAGACTAAAATATATGAAGATACATTAGTTCTGAAATCTTACACATAATTTAAATGATGATGAGTATATGTCTGATAAAATCTGGGAGGTACGTGACTGTAGAGGGAGCCTGTCGAAAACATTTTATTTGAGGAAATAGCGATCTTGCACTGGCCTTGTCTGCTCTGTTGGGTCTCATACACAGAGTTTGAGAAGACTGTATGTTATTAATATAACCTGTAACTTATAATATCTCTGGGAAAGGTAAACTGTACATGGATCAAGGTGTGGAAGGCGGCGATCCTGACCCGGAGACCACTATGCATCGTGGAGTTGAGATCCACATCACAGTGAAGCTGAACAGGCACAGCCTGTGCTGCACAGATCAATCAACCGCACGGTTTGTGGCTGCAGCATAAACTCAGGGCTCAGGGTAACCGGGGCCTGCAGGCAGCTCCCACTCGGTTCACGTGATCACGCCTCTTGCCTGGCCGGGCCTTTGTCTAAAGGGCAACAAGAAGTTCTCCTGTGAACGTCCTTCATGAACAGGGCTGTTTTCTTGTAAGAAAACTATATAATAGCTTGAATGACCACAAAGGAGGCGCTTCTCTCCTCAGACAGTACCTGCTCAGCATGCCCTGGGAAGAATCCACCCGGGCTCCATCCGATGCTGCACAAGCACAAGTCTCCTTGCACCTGAACGGATGCAAGACTTACTCACTGTCTATATTCCTGCTCTTATTCTTAGACAAATTGCTATAAAAGGCCTGGGATTTTCACATATAAAATCACCAATTTTATAATTCTGGCCAAATTAATTACAGGAAAAAGCAAATTCTTAATGACCTTTGCATGTGGAAATTCTCATTTCAATGCACTAGACCTCTACACTAGACCATACGATCCACTGTTGTTAAAATTTAACTGAGTAACTAGCATTGTTAGAAAAAGAACAAAGACTTCACAAGTTGTCATTCTGTCCATGTACTCCACTGCAGTGAAATACCCTATGAAAGATATCCAGGGGTACCTGAAGACAAGCTGCACAGCTCTAAAAACTTCAGAAGTTTCCTTATATCTACTTCCAGATAACTGTTTTCACTCAGAACTCTAAGTACTGATATTGTTTATATTTCACTTGCAACCAAAGTACACTAAAAGCTATGTAAACAGAGAAATATGTTGGCTATATAATATAATATGTTGGCTTAAAACAGCACAGTTTTAAGGCATCTGATGTAATTAAGTAGTGCGGTGTGAATATCTCTTTCCCATTTCACAGTTCATAGCTGCAGAAAATCATCACCAGTTGGGAGATGTTGGCAGAGCACTACCAGAGGACTTGTTACTAAAGGGAACAACATGGAGACACATTTCATTAAGTGATGTAAGAAGATATTTTAAGGAAAACAAGGTGATAATTTTGGAACTGTATGAATGTTTTTATTTATTGTATTTTTTCTCTTTGAATAAATGACTGACCACTTTTTAGCTTGTGTTATTCATAAGAACAATGCTGTACTGTAGCAGCAGCCAGAAAGTTTAAGATTTGCTCTGACATAGTAAAAGCAGCCAGTTACAGTGTAAGCAGTTTATGATTTTAATTGAAAAATGAAAGAAAATATAACAGGAAGTAAAAAACCATACCATATCAACAAAAACATATACATACACAATATAAAATGCAACAGACATTTTTAGCAACAAACTTCATTCTTGGTTAACTGGCTGTTATCACCCAGTATAATCTGTATCTTTCCTTACTGTAACTAATTCACTCATAAATAAAACTGGAAGTTACATTTTCTAATTTCTAGCAGATACACAGAATGTCCCACTGCCTAATGTCTTTAGAATGAACATTTTGGCCAATTCTTACCTTAGTAATTTTTGACGTTACCATCACTTTTTCCTTCTTGACAGGTTTACTTTGTTGCACCACTTGACATATATTCTTAGACTTCTGTACCATTAAAAATTCATGCTTCCTCTACAACAAAATGTAACAATGAATTACATTTCACTTGTTACCTATAAAGGAAGTAGGTACATGTAAGAACAAACCTTACTTGCAGATTCTCTAAGCGAGCTTGTACTTTCCTTGCTTGACCTTCCAGCTTCTTGTTCAGCTCGGTTACATCATTTAACTGAAAGAATCAGAAAATATTAAAGTATCTGTAAATTCAAAACTCACTTCTCAATTATCACACAGAAATAATGTGATGTTGTTTCTGAGCAGATAAATTATTTAAGTTCAATTTTTTTCATCTGGGCATGAAACAAAATCATCATCCACCTGCAACACATCACAGAATCACAGCCTCGTTGAGGATGGCAGACATCTCTGCAGGTGGTCTGCTCCAACCCCCCAGCTCAAGCAGGGCCACCAAGAGTCCACCATGACAGCTTCTGAATATCTCCAAGGTGGGATAATCCACCACCTCTCTGGGCAACCTGTTCCAGGACAAATAAGACAGCATGTAGCTCTTTGTTGACCTGCAGCCCAACCTTTCATTTTGCAGGGGAAGAATAAGCACTACGGTGCCTCTCTAGAGATACAGGCACTGCTCATTTGATTACTTTTCATGAAGAACTGACACAAAAATGGAGCACACATTTCAAGAATGGTCCAATAGTCTTGTTAATGGGAAGGGTGAAAGTTTTCTTCTTTGCAGAATGAAACAGTTACTGACCATGCTGCAAAACCAATTTGCTCTGTGATAAAAGATGAGGGAAACTGTAACCTCTATTTAAATATAAGAAACAGGCTGTAAGCATAGCACAATGAATAGTGTGATTTCCATGGAAGCCCTCAGTTTGCAGAGAAATGCAGAGATTTTATAGCAGAGGGGAAATGAGACAGATGGGTTGCACCAGAACCAACCACCTTCTAGGATTTAGGTCTGACCTTCTCTAAGGGAAAGAATAAGGGTCTGATGTAGATTTTTAATGTACTCAGACTATCAGAACTGTAGTTCACTGCATCAACAAGAGTCAAATAGTTTAGGTAGAAATTTAGGTGTCAGCATTTTAGGTCAGAATTAACAGTCAAGCAATGTGAAAATTCTTACTCCTTGTATTACTACGAACCACTGTCTCAGTTTTTTATACTGTAAAAGATCAGAGAGGCTAGATTTCAAGCACTAGAAAAAGGTATGGAAAACACTTCCAGTCATTCATATAATTCTTGTCTTACAGAAAAAAATAATCAGCAATTTTGCAAGCTGTTCAAATCTTTAAAATTATTAACTATAACTTGTAAAATTATTGATAACAAAACAACTAATTTTACCTGTTTTCTTAAAGAATCGTTCATTTCCTTCAAGGTATCAAAAGACGACTTCAGTCTTCTATTTTCTTTAGTTATTTCTCTCAAGGCTTCTGTCAGCTGTTTAACTTCTGCGTCATGTTGCTGTAGAAATATCAAATTTAAAAATATTATTTACAAGAGACTATTTCAGAAACAATTTTAAGCTAAGTTCCATTTTAGTGTTAATATAAACAAAGACAAACTTTCAAGGATCACATTTATAATTCCTCATGGCCAAATTTGCCCATTCAACCAGCAGTGAGAAAAACATCCACACTGCATATAGAGAAGAATCTATAAAGAAATTGTGAGCAACCTGCACAGCCAAATACTCTTATTCTTTCTGGATTCTACCCAAAACAGATAATATCAAAATGTACATTTCTCAGACAAGTCAAATGTAAGAAAGTTTATGAACTAAAACCAATGACAAAGCTTTTATTTACAGCTTATTCTTCCATATAATTACAAAAAAAAAAAAAAAGATTCTGTTTTGCAGCAACTTCTGAGGTTTCAATTAGTTTTTCTAGCTTTGCTCACTCTGAATCATTGTCCTGGTTTTGACTGGGATAGAGATAACTTTCATCCTAGTAGTTGGGTGCTGTGTTCTGGATTTAGCCTGAGAATACCGTGATAGCAACAAGCAAAACCTCAGTGCGTTAAGTGGCGCTTGGCCGAAGTTAAGGACTTTTCAGCTTCTCTGCCAGTGAGGAGGTGCCCTAGGAGGTGCATAAGAAGCTGTGAGGGAGCAACATTCAGCACATAAACTAGGGGGAGCTGACCAGGGGGCCTCAGCTCAGAAACTAGTTAGGCATCAGTCAGTGGGTAGGGAGCATTTGTATTGCGCATCACTTGTTCTGTGTATTCTTTTGTCATAATGACTGGTAGTATTATTTTCTCTTCCCTTGCTGTCCTATTAAACTGTCTTTATCTCAATCAACAAGTTTTACCTTTTTATCGATTCTCCTCCCCACCCCAACCACAGTGGGGGGAGGAGTGAACGAGCAGCTACATGGTGCTTAGTTGCTGCCTGGAGTTAAACTACAGCAACCAGAGAAAGAAACTAATCCTATGCATCTTAGGCTAGTGTTCTCATTTACAGCACAAGCATATGAAGTGCTAACTACAACCTGCATATTCACTGCTATTCTTCTCATTCTCCTGAATCTTATTTTAATCTTCTCTGGACACCAGTGCATCTGGTGTACCTCAGATTTGATAAAACAACAATGATTTATTTTGCTGAAATTATTCCAGCTATATATACTTACTATCTTTAGATTAGATATCAGGAAGAAGTTCTTCCTGGAGAGGGTGGGGAAGCACTGGAACAGGTTGCCCAGAGAAGGTGTGGATGCCCCATCCCTGGAAGTGTTCAAGGCCAGGCTGGATGAGGCTTTGAGCAACCTGGTCTAGTGGAAGGTGTCCCTGCTCACGGCAGGGGGGTTGGAACTAGATGGTCTTTAAGGTCCCTTCCAACCCAAACCATTCTGTGATCATTCATTTCTCCCCTTCCATGAATTCACTATTCTTCACTCATTAACCCACTCATTTTCTTCTTTTCCATTTCCAGTCACATCCTCTCTTGCTACATTTGCAAACGACACAAATAAAGCACAGTAGATGTTTAAAAGAAGCAAGCCCTGTAGGGATCCTTCTCTATTACGGGTCCCTTCTAACTCGAGATATTCTATGATTCCATATTTTTGCTTGGAAGCACAGTAACTTCCATTCCAGCTATACAGAAAAGTCCATCTACAATTCCTTTTTTCTCAACTGCTGCTCTTCTTCAGTCAGTAGGATCAACTGCGGGAAGGACATTCTTGTCTAAAGCACCTACCCACACATGGCTAAGACGACAAGAACTGACAGATCCCCTCTTCATACCAACAAAGAGGCAGACACTACAAACGTATAACTGAGTGCACCCTATCATGTCACAGGGAATGCTCCACTTCCATTTTCTACATACAGTTGAGAGCTTTATTTGAAGTTCAAGAGCTTGTCTAGGAAAAATCAGTAGGGAATTATTAATCTGAAAGGTAAGTAGAACCAACTCAGCTGTTAAGCCATAGGGTTGTAGGTGATGCCAGGATGTCTAAAGCCATGCCCTTCCATAAGGAAATCAGGTGATGTGATTTCATTTTCACTTATTTCAGCTATATCATTTTATCCCTGCCAGATGTTTGCCTGGTGCATTCTTAAGTCCTCCAATACTGGAAATACCGCTGACTTCCCAGTCTACCTGTCCCTATGCTGAACTATTTTTGGTTAGATCTAGTTTTTCCCAGTACTTAACCTAATTTTCCCCTACTACTACCACTGCTTCTCCTGTCACAGACATGAAAAAAATATTATCTTCTTTGTTACAGCCTTTTAGGTAGCTGAAGCTTGGCAGATTCACCCTCAATTCACCCTGTATCTTGAACCCACACATGCACTCATCATCCTTTATTTCTGCAGCTATTTCTATTCAGGTGCAGTACTGTACACTCACAACTTCTGGAGAGTATAACGGCTTTTTTTCAGACCTGCCATATCTCTTCAATTTGTCAAGATCAATTTTAATCCTAATGTTCTTTTTCAGTATGCTCAAAATTCACCCTCACTTGCTATTTTCTTCAAATTTAATAAATGTGCTCTCTCACCATCAAACCTCTTATTGTAAATACTGAATAATCCCGGACTGAAAAGATATTCCAGAACTCACTTTGTACATTCCTTCAACTTAACTGTGAACTGCTGTCTCACTACAGCTTTACACCAGCTACGTTACATCTGTGTTATATTTCCCTAATATGATCATAAAAATGCCATACAAATCTGTATAAAAAAAATTACTAGTTCTCACAGATCAGCGCTAATTTCTCCTGGTTTTCATCAGCCAGGTCTCTAACTGGTGCAACAGTTTTAAAGCCGAGAAGATTTGAAACATCTAAATTAACACCTTAATTCCTTCCTTCCCTGTGCAAAAGTTGAGGTCCCGCTCCTCTGGCACCCTTTTCCCCTTTTTACCATGTAGTCTCTCCTCCCTCGACAACTTGCAGGAAAGGTTTATCTGTACACTTCAAAGAAATTTGATTTCTCAGCTTATTTTTTTGAGACTAAGTACACATATTTACAGACTTCTCTTGGTGATCTTCTCAATAATGATCAAAACTTTTCACAAGATCTAAATTCAATGGCAAAGACTCACAAGAACAGTGTTGTGGAACCCATTTTCCTGTTGATGAAATAATAAAATTTCACCTCCTCCCACACCCCCAAAGCCAGGTTGATTTTTTTTTCTTTCTTTGAATTTGAGTGTTCTTCTGCTAATACCCTCTGTATACTTGCTTCATCATAGGATCTCCTTGTGTCTTAAAGCCTTCCCAAGGAAATCTACTTCAACTACAGCTAATGCAAAGATACTCATTTAGGTTACATACAATTACAGATAGACCACACTGTTTTCTCTAATACCAGACACAAAATTTCTGCTATTTTAGAAACAAGTGACCTTTCTTTTCTAAACTGTAACAGTAAAATATACTTACACTTCAGACAACTAGATGCACCATTCTGAAACAGAAGCCATACAAAAACTCTTATCAATATTGTTTAGTAATTTTTATGTAAATCTGTCATTTGGGGATTTCAGGCACTTTCAAGAAATAAGCATTATATCCAGCAAAGACGTGATGACTTAAGACAAACAAGTTAAGTGGCATGTCGAGCAATAAACATCATTGAATATATTACTGCACCTCTTTTATATTTCCAAATGTTGCGTGCACTTTTTCCTCAACACCTCTTATTTTAGCCATAGCTGCTTCATGTCTAAAAAGCAGTGCTTCTCGCTCTGTCAGAAAACGCTCTCGTTTCTGGAGCTGTAGAGCATACTCCTGCTGTGCTGAACTCTCTCTCTGTTTCAAGAAAACAGACATTGAAATTGCTTTAAAATCCATGAAATTACCACAGTTTATATCAAATTTCTCTCCCAGTGATATGCTTAGCTTTTCATAAAATTATACAATGTTGCACAATGGCTTACTAATTAAAAGCATCCTGATGGACGTCTATGTTCAGTTTCCCCACACATTAACCCAAATGACTGATGTGTGGCAGGGGTGGCTCGGCCTCCCAGAATACCAGTTTCAACTCTGCATGGTTCTTCAAGCATAAACCTAGACTATTAAACTTAGGCTTTTGTTTCCAAAAGTTTTGGATAATGGTATTAACTGTAAGACAGAACAGAGCCTGATGCAAGTGTCTCTCCCGAGCACTGTATTACTATACTGTTTCTTCTATTGGCATCCCTGAAAAAGTGGTGAGGGGGGAAAAAAAAAAGAAAAAAAAAAAGATACATTATGCTTGCAAGAGACAGTCCTGGCAGGGAATCCAGCAGAAGCAAGGGAGCTATTACAGAATGAAACCATATAGGAGTTTCTTTTGTTAGCGGCCTAGGCCTGCTAGGGAATGAACCATTGGGATTCCCCAGCAGCAGAATATTAAAGATAAGGCAGAATGGAGGGTTTTCATAGGAGGCCATGAAGACCAGAGATACATTATTCTTGCAAGAGACAGTCCTGGCAGGGAATCCAGCAGAAGCAAGGGAGCTATTACAGAATGAAACCATATAGGAGTTTCTTTTGTTAGCGGCCTAGGCCTGCTAGGGAATGAACCATTGGGATTCCCCAGCAGCAGAATATTAAAGATAAGGCAGAATGGAGGGTTTTCATAGGAGGCCATGAAGACCAGCACTCTTGAATGCCTAGAGGCCAGAGAATAATTCCAGATTCTCCCAGGAGAAGCAACGGCTGCAGGCGCTTCCCGCCATGCCCACAGCCTGTCACAAGACACTCCTCTTGGATGTAGCAGTGCTGTGTTCAAACTCCCTCAAGCTGAATTTTATCTGTTCTAGGCAAGTGAAAGGACCACTACGAAAGCAAAGAATTTAGGGGACGAGGTGAATGATAACAAGGCCAGGCTGGATGTGGCTTTGAGCAACCTGACCTAGTGGAAGGTGTCCCTGCCCATGGCAGGGGGGTTGGAACTAGATGGTCTTTAAGGTCCCTTCCAACCCAAACCATTCTGTGATTCTGTGATAACAGGGCTTTAGTATATAATTAATTGTGATCAGTACAAGTAATACTTCTAGTATAAAGTAAGTTTTAGTATATAAGTAACAGTGATTTAGCATACACGTTATTTCTGAATTCTCTGTCAAAAGTCAGAATCTTCGTAATATTACTCCACAAAATTTTAAAGGCAATTCGATTTCCTACCTGGAGCTTCTGATGTATGACAAATAATTCATCATAAATTTGACTGATGTGAGATGGTATTAAGCCTTGACTATTGCATGCTTGAGCATCAGTTCCACTCACAATTTTCTTTATCAAACCCCTGGTAATATTTTGGTCACTGTTTTCTTGTGTATTTACAGCCAAATGGGATGGCGAGGTGCTGCCTATGGAAAGGAAAAACCCACCTCACATTAAAAAATTAGTCCTAGATAAATACTGACATGACTTCTTGTTCCAAAACAGTGAACATTTTAGGCATTTAGAGTGACAGGTATAGAGCAAGAAGTATCAAAATAAGAAAATAATCTCCTAAAGAATTACAGGGAATTGCTCAACGCTGTGTTCCATGACTTGTTTGAACTGATCAGTGATCAACAGAGTTTTATAAGTAAACTATGCCCTCCAATATAGAAATTCCATTAATGCCATGCACAGACTGAAACATAACATAGCCAAAAGCTATTATTTGTGTAAGGGCTTCAGGCAAGTGATCTGCTGCTGATTAGACCTTGGTCTGATATCTAAATAAACAGATTTATTTAAGAAACTTAAGAAACTACTGGACATGACATGAGAAACTGCTAGACAGGACAGATGACAGTTTAAGAAGCTGATGAAAGTTGTTGGCAGTGAGGAATGGCTGGATTTCACAGCCAGTCAAATGGCCAAAATTCACAGATAGTAGAAGGGAAGTATTGGGAGACACACCTTGCAAGGCCAACTGCACCTAGGTACCACATCAGGCCAAGAGTACCTAGGTGACAGTATCAGAAATGCAAATTTGGATACTGTACTGGTTTTGGCCAGGACAGAGTTAATTCTCTTCATAAGAGCTGGTACAGATCTGTGTTTTGGATTGTAACCAAAACAGTGTTGATAACAGGGATGTTTTCGTTACTGCTGAGAAGTGCTTACACAGAGTCAAGGCCTTTTCAGCGAGTAGGCTGGGGTCACAAGGAGTTGGGAGGGGACACAGTTGACCAGAGGGAGATTCCAGACCATATGACGGCATGCTCAGCATATTAAACTGGGGCAAAGGGAAAGAACTAGGGGGACTTTTGTAGTTGGGGCATTTGTTTTCTCCAGCAGCTGTTATGCATGATGAAGCCCTGCTTCCCTGAAGACAGCTGAACACCTGCCTGTCAATAAGAAGCAGTAAATGATATCCTTAATTTGATTCATTTGCACATGCAGCTTTTACTTTACTTATTGAAGTGCCTTTATCTCAATCCATGAGTTTTTCACTTTTACCTTTCTGGTTCTCTCCCTTCATACTGGGGTGGGGGGGGAAGAGTGATCAAGCAACTGTGTGGGCCTGAGCTAGGGGTTAAACAAGAAGAAGTACAGATGTAGCAAAACTACAAAGTAATTAGGGATAGGTAGTTTATTTGGCAGGCAACTGAGGACTATTGAAGTGCCTTTATGTCAATCCATGAGTTTTTCACTTTTACCTTTCTGGTTCTCTCCCTTCATACTGGGGTGGGGGGGGAAGAGTGATCAAGCAACTGTGTGGGCCTGAGCTAGGGGTTAAACAAGAAGAAGTACAGATGTAGCAAAACTACAAAGTAATTAGGGATAGGTAGTTTATTTGGCAGGCAACTGAGGAAGAGAATAGGATAATGAGAAGGAGCATCAAGAAAAGGGAAAAAGGTTAGTAGATAAGCAAATGATGTGATCAGGGCTAATTGGTAGTATGCATCAGCCAGCCCTGTGGTTGATCATCCATCAGAGCTGGAGCAGGACAATAAACCAAATCTGCTATTCTGCAACAGCTGGCCTGCATCAGGGGTGAGGAAGGAAGAGCATAAGTAGCACAATGCCACATAGATTGTAACAGAAAAAAAAGGTAGATATCTGAAACAAATGTGTGCAATATTTATCAGTTTTGTATTTATTTTGCCTTTGATCCTAAATACTGTAAACTGTGCCATTTTCCTGATGAATTTTTTTTTTCCCCATAAAGAATGTGTTTTCAGAAAGCTGTTCTTATGCTCTCCTCACCCATTTAATATGACTCTTGGTGGGAGTCTGTTATGGTTCCACTGATCTGTACTGCCTGCCTTCTGAGATCCCTTTAGCCGCTTTGGGGATAGCTGGCTGGCGCCACACTTCCAGATACACTTTCAAAAGAATTCAGCAATGTTGTTCTAAACCTAAAACTCTCCCCAAGAGACAGAGCTATACAGATTCACAAACTCCTCCAACTGCAGCAGCATTTTCAAACAATTGCAGGGAACCTATTCCAGCTGGTCCCTGCTACAACCTTCCAGTTAGTTATCTGCTGTTCAGTTAACTCAGGAAATTCTATCTACCCACGGCCAGTTTCAATCCTTAAACTGACAAACAACATCTGACTTAACAGAGATGTAGTATTTGTTAATGCAGCTAGATACTTAAAACAAAATAAAGCAAAACAAACCCCAAACCCCACCCTGTTTTTTCATTCACATTATAAAGCTACCTGGCAATCAGTTTCAAAAAAGGTTGATTTTTCTTTTTAAATGTATGTTAGTATTGCATCAAGTACGTCTGTGCCTCCTAAACTAATTCTAAAGGAGTTACTCATGCTTACATGAAAGGTTAAATCCCCAAAAATACATTTTAGCTGATTATTGTATTTCTGAACAGAACAGAAATGCATTTACTAGGAAGTTTTTTAAATTACAAGCTGTATTTCACGAAAAGTTGCAAAACTATTTAAAACACAGTATTTATTACCTGTTTCCCCATATATAGCTGTATTTTGAACTGCAGTCTCAGAACAATTAATTGCATTTTCTTCTATTTCCAGACCACTTGACTCACACAGAGAATCTTGCTCATCGTCAAAACTAAAAAAAAAAAATACAAAAAGTAGTAATTTGAAATTACTCAGTCCCTTTCTGACATACACAGCACCGAGAAGAGTTTGTATAACAATGTAAACATTGCTCAATTTAAGATTTTGATAACAAGTAGCAGAGTTAAATCATTTTTGCATTACTACTCAGAAGATTTTAACCACAACAATTAGTAATGTTGCTGACTGAAAAGCAGTAACAATAATCTCCATGCTGTAAGCATTTGTATACAGCAAATAAAGCCAACACTCTTCTCTCACCACCAAACACCAAATTCCAGGAAAGCTAAAAATACAACACCCATTTTTTCATTACTTTTTCATATTTGGCGTAAAGGAGCCCTGATAAGAGATTTGTCGGCTTTTGGAATCAAATTATCTTGGAATTAAATTTAAAGCTGTTCATCAGTCTGAGCTATTTGTTTTCCTCCTAGTTCAGCTTATATCACCAGTTCAGTTCACATCATCCCTGTATTCAGTGTATATCACCCAGACCAGTTCAGATCATCCCTGTATCTCATTAGCAATTCTAATATGCACAGATCAGAAAGTGAGCAAGACAATACTCCTCCACAAAAACAGCATTCACATTATTTCATACATCAGCCACAAACAGGTCTTAACAAGAAAATGAAAATCTTAAAATGACTTCTGGATCTGTGCAATACAAATGTATTGTTTAGTCATGGTTTAACTGGTTTATAGAATCAAAGATTTATAGAATGGCTTGGCTTGGACGGGACCTGTAAAGGTCATCTAGTCCAAACCCCTGCAATAAGCAGGGACATCTTCAATTCGATCAGGTTGCTCAGAGCCCCAACCAACCCGACCTTGACTGTTTTCATCTATCTCCCTGGGCAACCTGTTCCAGTGCCTCACCATTTTCATCATAAAACATTTCTTCTTTACATCTAGTCTGCATCTGCCCTCTTTCTCTTTAAACCATAACCTCTTGTTCTATCGCAACAGGCCCTGCTAAAAAGTCTGTCCCCATCTTTCTTATACGCCTCCTTTAAGTTCTGGAAGGTGCTGTAAGGTCTCCCCGGAACCTTCTCTTCGCGAGGCTGAACAAGCCCAACTCTCTCAGCCTGTCCCCATAGCAGAGGTGCTCCAGCCCTCTGAGCATCTTTGTGGCCTCCTCTGGACTCACTCCAACTGGTCTATATCCTTCTGATGTTGGGGGCTCCACAGCTGGACGCAGCACTCCAGGTGGGGTCTCACCAGAGCAGAGTACAGGGGCAGAATCCCCTCCCTCGACCTGCTGGCCACACTTCTCTGGATACAGCCCAGGATACGGTTGGCTTTCTGGGCTGCCAGCGCACACTGCCGGCTCATGTCCAGCTTTTCATCCACCAGTACCCCCAAGTCCTTCTCCTCAGGGCTGCTCTCAAAACCTTCATCCCCCATGCTGTATTGATACTAGGGCTTGCCCTGACTCAGGTGCACTTGGCCTTGTTGAACCTCATGAGGTTCACACAGACCCACTTCTTCAGTTTGTCCAGGTCCCTCTGGATGGCATCCCTTCCCTCCAGCGTGTGAACCTCAGCCCATGGCTTGGTGTCACCTGCAAACTTGCTGAGGGTGCACTCGATCTCACTATGTCATTGATGATGATATTAAACAGCGCTGGTCCCAACACAGACCCCTGAGAGACACCACTTGTCACTGATCTCCATCTGGACATTGAGCTGTTGACCACTACTCTCTGGATGTGACCTTCCAACCAATTCCTCATCCACCCAACAATCCACCCATCAAATCTATATCTCTTCAATTTGAAGAAAAGGATGTTGTGGGGGTCCGTGTCAAAGGCCTTACAGAAATCCAGATAGATGACATCCGTAGCTCTCCCCTTGTCCACTGATGCAGTCACTCCATCACAGAAGGCCACTAGGTTGGTTAGGCAGGACTTGCTCTTGGTGAAGCCAAGGGTTTTATTACTAGAATCCACCCATCAAATCTATATCTCTTCAATTTGAAGAAAAGGATGTTGTGGGGGTCCGTGTCAAAGGCCTTACAGAAATCCAGATAGATGACATCCGTAGCTCTCCCCTTGTCCACTGATGCAGTCACTCCATCACAGAAGGCCACTAGGTTGGTTAGGCAGGACTTGCTCTTGGTGAAGCCAAGGGTTTTATTACTAGAAATAATAAATTATAAAAAAGAGCTGAAGAGAAAACCCCTCTTACCAATGCCAGTCTTTAAAACTTTGTAGGAAATCACTAGAAGATATGATGCTGTACTGTCTTCCACTTTCAATAAATGCTGACTCTAACGACACAGTTGTATTTTCTAATGAGCTGTCCACGTCACCTAGAATACATAAAATAATAAAAATTTTATTTTGCATTTGAGAAGCTGACATTAAGAAATCGACAAGGGCTTATTAGAAATTCTTTCCATGCAATCACAGAAGTTTAAGAATCAAAAAAACCCTCACTAACACAGCCTGACAAATGAATGAAGAATTATTAATAGCTTAAACTACAGGAAGAATTACTTAGTTTTCAAACCAGATTTGTCTAAAGTTTTACAGCTTGCCTTCATATACTGATTTTTCTATAACCAAAGTCTGATAAATACATTGTTTTACACTGTTGTTTGCTTGCACCAGCAACGTGTATTTCTCAAGAAGCCCTAAGACATTCTAAATATTAATGTACATGTGTCTTTAAATTAAAGCCAGATGTATGCATTATACAGTGGGCTGCTACCAACTAATTCAAGCAGAACTTCAACACAAACAGGTTGGGAACCATTGTCCTAAACCATGTCTTGTGGTCTTCATGTGAATATTTACATTCCAAGGCTTGCTCCCACGTATCACAACTCCCTGATCAAGAACATCTACCTATTTAAAATGACAAAATACAAAACTACTTATTACATATATAGTAATGATACAGTTTCAGTATATATTTTCCCTGAAAAAGACATCAAAGCACCATTGTTTGGTATTACCTTTGTATACTATGGAGCTTCCACTCCTGTATTCAGTATGTAATGCTCCTGAAAGGTAATCCTACAAGAAAGCATAAGACCACTGCAATACAGTGAGAATTTTCAGGGAAAGCATATGCTACAACTTACTTGTTTAATAGTTACAACGCCTGGTGACAGAACTTACTACAAACTACTGATTTTGAAAAGCGAATTGTGTTTGGTTTTAATATATAAATGTAAATGGCCCTCAGATTAATATAGAGAGGCAAACATATTCCCCACAGTCTAATAATAAAATATTCAGTTGTTATATGGTAAAATAGTTGACAGAATACTAGACACCATGAAGACAGTAACATAAAATAAAGGCACAGAAGTAGGATTAGGTAATCATGGAAACAGTGCCATCTGTCTTTACATCTAGGCTTTGTATGTCGGTTTCCTGTTCTACTTTTTCCCACTAACTTGTAACTACATACTAAAAAAAAAAAATACAAATGACAGACGTATTAGGCTACAAGAAAAATCAATTCAATGTACATTAGAAAAGATCAGACTCCAAGCAGCTCTCATGATCTTAGCTCTTCTTTTCTGCACCTGAAAATCAACTGATGCATTTCCTTGAACTTAAAATATTGCTTTTTAATAAAATAACAAAAGGCACAAACAAATTTCGCCCATCCTTCCTTGCAAGAATTACACTTTAAAGACTCAGCGATAGTTTTTTAAAGTTAACTTCTGAAAATTATTTTTCTTTAAAGAACAGTTCTGTAATTCAAAGCAAAATATTCCCCAGAAAAATACAGCATTTTGTGGTGTTCCAGATGCTATCTGGATTGCTAATCCTTCTGAAGACACTATGGGCAGAGAATCCAGATTTTAGATGCTAAAGAACTCAAATCTTCACATCATATTTGAGACAGTTCCTGATCCTAACATGGCAAGTAACACTTCCTTAAGAAAAAAAGGCTAGTTTCTGTATTCATTTGATGGTTCCCAGGATCAACTTGATTTCCCAATCCAACTCTGTGTCTAGCCCAAACCCAGCTTTCAATCTCTCCCAATCTTTGGCTGCTCACAGGTATTTTTACAACATATTACTTCCCTCACAGCACAAGTTTGAACACTTAAAGGTCTGTTATCCCCCCGTACGCTAGATCATTTGACCTATGGAATACAGACACAAGAAAGCAACTACAAAAATTTGTCTCAGCCTAAGAGAAACAGACTTCAGACAAAAATAAAAGCAAGTGCCTAGTCAGTATTCTTTCTACACAGTGTCAGAGACTTCTGAAATACCAGAAGGTGTGTGAGTGGGGAGGTGTCTTTGCTGCTGGATTTTTGGGCAGATCAGTTTCCTAATCTACTACGTAAACACATAAATGCTTATGTCAACACAAATAATGGAAACAGAGGAACCACAATTCCTTTGTATCAGCGCAAAGAACCTGGCACCATCTGGTGCAAAACAGCATCGCTTTACCTCGGCAGGAGAATGATATCAATCCTAATTTACTGTTTGGTCATTGTGGCAGTCTCTTGTGAATTTTGGGTTTGGCTCTCCTCTGGTTGACTAGGTATCACCTGCCCCCTGAAAACAGCTAATCACCAGGATTTTTAAAAACAGCATTAACACCACTAGCACGTTCTAAGCAAGACTAGCGATTGGTGTAGCAGAAGAAGATATGAAAGAAGTGGATTATCCTAATATCTGAATTTCGTAGATGCCTAGTATACTAGGCGTTTTGCTTTTAAAGAGTCGCGTATCTCACCCAATTGGCAGGTACCAGGTTTTAAGCAAAAGAGAACCGCCAACTGGCTCAGCGCTTTGGGAACGCATATTCCAATTTCCAGAGGAATTTCAAGTTCAGAGAAGGAGGACTCTTCAACACTTCCACGGTAACACAGCTAGAGCAGAGAGAGGCAGGAGCAGGATCACGGAACACACCCGACCCATAAAACTCTCGAAGCCCGTTTAAGTCCCGGTTTTGGCCCTCACACCGCACGCGCACGCAACGCCGCCGAGCTCGCAGCGCACCCCAAGGGCGGGACACGCTCCCCCCGCCGAGCACCGCAGGGACGGGAGGGGAGGGGACGGGACGCCTCCCCCGGCTCTGCCCTGCTCCCCGGGATGATGCCGGCTGCTTTGTAGCCAGTCTCTAACTGAGGATTATCCCAAACAGGAGGATTATCTAAAAGTCCATCAGATGCTAGCACGGGAAGGTAACGAGCGTTTGGATTTCCCGAGGATTGTCAGGAAGTTGCAGTCCCACTTCCCTCTATTCACACCTTCTCTGCGGCGTGTGTAGCGTACGGAGTGAACGTTAGGGTCAGAGGCAATCAATTCCCGGTGGCTACCTTCGATTACAAAAATACGTTTTAATAATACGGGGACGATTTGTTTCACAAATTACCTAAATCTGGGAAAGGCAAAGAATGACAGTGACTCGAGCTATTTTGAAAAAGACGCAGCTGTTTGCGCTGCGATGTGTCAATGGCACACTGCGCTACGAGCGCTGGGCCCGCACAGGCACATAAAGATCCCTTTCACACTCGGTTTTCCGGGTGCTATGTTTGTCCAACCTCTGGGGCCTTTTGTGAGGCGCTGGATGAGATGCTGGGGAGAAGAAGGGAAGAAGGGTGCCCCACAA